AACAACAACAACAGTCTAGTGTGTTAACGATTTGTGCTAGGCAGTGACTCCTCCAAGCTGGAGAGCTCTCTAAATAAAGATTCTTGTTCCACCCCCTGCATTTTTTAGCTAGAGGGCCTTGGGTCAGGAGGGGACATTTTGTGGGATTGCAGGGCAGTAAACAGAACTCAGTGGCGGGCTGACTGAGGTGGGGTCACCCTTGTACAGAAGGCAGGACTTGGATGGTCTGTGTCTGTGGCAGGGTGTGGCATGAGTAATTTCCTCTGTGGCCTTGGTTTGGGTGGATCTTGAAGGTCCTGCTTGTGACCGAAGGGTGGATCTCTTTCTGTGGATCCCCAACCAACCTGTGAAATTGCACTCATGGCATTGGTCTCAGTGGCCGCAAACTTACTTGCCCATCACAAGCTATGAAAACGCAGGTGGTTACTCAACCTTCTTCCTGCACCCAACGTGACTGTGGCCAGCTTGGCTGAAAAGAACCTTGTCAGGTGGGAAGCTGTTGTCGTTGTTAGGTGCCATCAAGTCAACTATGACTCAGAGAGGCCCTGTGAACAACAGGTCTGAATCCTGCCCTGCCCTGTGCCATCCTCGTCATCGCTCATGGACTCGAGGCCATTGCTACAGTCACTGCTTCAATCTGTCGTCTGGGCTTTTCCTCGCTTGCTCTGACCTTTCAGCTTCGCCAGTAGGATGCCTTTTTCCAGAGCCTGGCTCCTCCAGAACACATGCCCAAAGTCAAGGAGATAAAATTTCACCATCTTTGCCTCTAACGAGCACCCTCGTTTCACGTCTTCCAATACAAACTTGTTTGTTCCTCTGGCAGGTAGGATGTCGTTGTTATTATGTGCCATCAAGTTGACTATAACTCACAGTGAGCTTATGGACAACAGACATGAACCTTGCCCTATCCTGTGCCATCTGCACCATCTCTGTCATGAGATGGGAAGCAGAAGTGGGTGATCTCATGAGTGGGCTAAGATAGTGGGCCCTTCTGGGATCAGAACCCAACCAGACCAAGTGAACAACAGCCATCTTCAGAGAAAGTGCTTTCCCAAGTAGCCCCTCAGCCCACCAATCTCAGGATCCACTGAGAAACGAGAGCTCGGAGTCAATAACAAGCCAGAGTCGTCTGTCACCAGTTATTTAACATTGTGGATGTTCTCAGTTCTGTAGTCAGCAACAGAGGGAGGGGCAGCCCTTCAGCTGCTCTCACTTCCGCCTCAACCCCTGTTGTGTGGGGCTTTTCAGTGACACCTTTAGGGAAGGAGTGAGTGATGAAGCAGCCCAAACCGGAAACTAGCTTAGTGATCCTTCTTTCCAATTAGATAGAAGATGGGACCAGTGATTTAGACTCTCTGGGGTGAATATTATCAATAAGCATATCTCTGTGTAGCATGAAGGCTCATGGTTAGAACCTCCCAAATGTGGACCAGCTACCCCAGGAAGTAATGAGCTCTCTGTCTCTACCAGAGTTCAAACAGAGGCTTTTTGAAGTTTACCCATCCACACACCTACTCATCTAATCATCCACCGATACAGTTTAAACATCAAATATATGCCAAGTGCTGAACTGGATGAGTAAGTTAGCAGGGCTCTGACCCCACAGTTCTGTTATGAGGAATTTCTGTGACCATGGGAGCAGGGCTTAGGGGGATCCTTGGTTTAGACCTGGCAGTCAGAGAGGCTCTCTGAAAGCTGAGGGGGCCTTAGGGTGGGGAAGAAAATAGTTCTAGAAAGAGAAGGCAGCATGTGTGAAGGAGAGAGAGAGAGAGAGAGAAAAGTAAAGAGAGAGAAAAGAGTGAGAGAGAAGAGAGAAGAGAATGAGAGAGAAGAGAAGAGAGAGAGGAGAGAGAGAGGAAAGGAGAGAGAGAGAGAGAGAGAGAGAG